ATTTAGCTAATGCAATTTTATCTGAATTAAAATCTTTGGGAGTAGATTGCAAATATTTAGTCGGACAAGGATATGATGGAGCTTCTTCGATGAAAGGAAGTTTTAAAGGTGTGCAGCTCACATTCATTGAATTTAGCTCTGGGCCATTCTTGCCAGGTTCAGCCTATTCGAAATACTTTCGAAATACTATTGGAATTATAAAATCGGTTGGAAATTTTATCAGGTCCTCGGAAAAACGAACTAAGTGTTTAAAAGATAATATCGAAAAAAACTTCCCTGAAACACAATGGAAAAACCTTTCAGCAATGTGCGAGGCCCGTTGGGTAGAAAATCATAATGGGTTGTTAAGATTTAAAGAAATTTATAAAGCTATTGTTGATACACTAGACGACTTAAGCACTGACATGGATTCTGAAACATCGTCAAAAGCTAATTCTTTTCTGAGATCAGTCATTTCAAGTGATTTTGTTATAAGCTTATCTTGCTTAGGAAAATTTGTTCCCATACACACTGACACTATGCAAAATACTTTAATCGCCCCTATGCGATTTGGCAGCAGTTTTACAATATGTCGATTTAATTATAAAGACTATTTATTGAAGATGTTCGTCAAAATATTGATTCAAAATTTGCTGAACTTTTCAAGAATGCACAGAATTTGCTCAGTACTGTAAACGAGGAAACAGAGCATAGGGCAAACTACAACACAAAAGATCCTGAAACTTATTTTAGAATTACTATAATGATTCCACTTTTGGATGATGTCATTGATCAGCTTCAGTCGAGATACCAAAATCATAAAGCCACATTATCATCTCTCTTAATCAAAATTATCAAGAAATAAAATGGGTGGAAGAATCTGAACTAGATCGACTAACATGTGCTATTGAAGTTCTCGGAGAATGCAAACAGGCCTTATTTACAAACATTCACAAACTTTTAAAGATCTTGGCGACACTACCCGTTTCTACATGTACTCCTGAGAGGACTTTCTCTTCTATGAAACGCCTCAAAACTTATTTGAGAAACTCCACGGGCCAGGAAAGACTAAACGGTTTGGCGTTAATCCACCGCAGAATTGACATCAACACCGAGGAGGTAATTGATTTGTTCGCTGTAAAGAAAGCTAGAAGACTAAATCTAATTTTGTAATAAGGTGTTAATATTTCTGTAATAGTTTTCTAATAAATATATATGATAAGTAACACCATTTTATTTCTTTTATTAAAACGATTTTATGTTTTTCTACTGTTCCACCAAATCAAACCCCCCGAAATTATTTTCTGGCTACGGCCTTGTTAACTTATGCTAAAAAAATATTTCAAGCAGTGGCTTGTACTTTTTCAACATTTTGTTGTTTTTCAAGGGAAATTATAAGTGTAACAAACAGGGGTATCTTTGATGAAATTTACAAACGTCAACCGATTTTGAGCCTTCGCCGTTCCCTTAATTATCAAGCTATCGTAAAGGGTATTTATTCAGGTATAATGCGATTTTTTGTAAAATTTGGCCCATAGCGCTCGCAAAATAAAAGGTGTACAAAACATGGTATTGTGTCCTTTAACACCAGATATGCCTCTTCAGGATGCTCTGTAGGGTAAATTATAAATACTAGAGTAGAGTTCTTGCCGTTTTTTTTTGTCACAAATAGATCAGCGTTACTCAAAGTGTGATCCGCGGAGCCCTGGGGCTCCGCAAAGCCTTTGTGGGGGCTCCGCGAAGAAAATAATATTAGCAGTACCTATCGCTACAATTCAGTAAGAGGAAGGAGTATACGATATTTGTTGGAGGAACTCTTTTTTTTTAGAAGTCATGAAGAGGAAGGAGTATATGATGATACGCAGGCCTTCTCTGTTGAAAGGGTTCGAAATTGCCGAATTCCCCTAATAGAGAAGTCGCTGAAATACCTCAAGGGTGTAAGATAAATAAAAAAAGATTCGATTGACAGAGTGTGAAGTTAGCTTTATTTTGGTTGAAATGTTAACCTTAATCCAAGTTGTCAAAGTTAGAAGAAATAAATGAAAATTATAAAATGTTTTATATTATATCTAAATATTACTGTGTGCGGGGAAAAAATATGTTAAAGGTAAAATATTTACGAATGGTTCTCCGGTTTACGCCAAGTACTTGTCGCTTACAAAATCCGGCAAATCAGGTATTCAAATGTTTCTCTATATCTATAATGAAATGAATCCCCTTAAAACCCTTAAAACTACTTATGACTAATGACTACACTTTATGTAAAGTATTTACAATTGCTACCGTTGTAGGGAATGCCCCTAAACCGGTTGAGGTTAGGTCGGAGCACTAAATGGGGCTCAATTCGCAAAACAAATAAACAGAGACCGTCTTACTTGAAAATCCGGAGTTTTGGTCTTGAAATAACCATACTGGGTGTCCAGATATCCTGTGACAGGTTATGATGATAGATTGGCAGCAAACGGTAGCCTAACAAGAACTACCTTGTCTGTGGACGATTTCTTTGCGAGCGGCAAAACGGCAACAGCTGATGGCCTGCTTATTTAATGCTTCAAAAGCCGGGAAACTTGCACGCCGATAGTATTACTGTTTGAAGGTCTTCGAGAATACAACGAAGCTAAGAAGGAACGAAAGGAAGAAAGGAACGCACGAATTAAAGAAGCGAACCAAGGAGGTTTGAAAAACATTGACGATTGTAACGATTATTTATACAGAAGGCTGTTGGGAATATAGGTAATTGAAATAATAATTCATTTTGAAAAACTCACCCTTGATGGTATGTGACCTCTTAGTTATTAATTTATTAAATTCACACTTTCAGTCCGATACTACATCCACCACTAGGTGTATGAATCACAAAGATTACTAAACAATATATATCAAACTGAAGGAATCTATGGTTTTTGCAAAAGAATAAATCCTAGAAAATTCTAGTTGAAATCTTGGCACATGCCACAATCAGAATCCAAGCAACAACTGGCCCAGGAAGGAAGTTCTACAAAATGGCAACAAAAGTCAATGTCTTATAAAGGTCCTGACTAACAAAGGTTCATAGGATAATTTCTGGTAAGACTGTGGTCACTATTTACAAATTTAGTAAAATTTGACAATTGAAGGGGGTCAAATTAGACATGAAAACAATAACAAACCAAATTTAAAGTTGTTTAATATTTAAAAGATCTGTAGTCATTACTCGAATTAGCAAAATATATTTACTTAGACTATAAATTATTATTTATTGAATGCACTAAATACTATTGATAATAACCCAGGTGAGATTATATTTTAATGCAAATTACTGTTTGATAAAAATGGATATTTTATGAATTTATACTCTGGATTTATATACCCGTACAATCTTAAATCTAAAGATAACTAAATAGATTAGCATAGGTTATAGTAGAATAAGTAAGTAATAGGGTAGTTTAGGGTATATAAGAATCAAATAGAAGTAAAATAGTGTACATAGTTAAGCTTAGAATAGTTTAGAAGTAGAATAATGTAAATAGTTAAGCGTAGAATAATTTAGGATAGTGTATAGTTTAGTCTAGTTTAGTTTAGAGTAGCTTAGAATAAGATAGGCTAGTAAATAGAATAAGTTAGAATAGTGTAAAATTGGGGTATTTTAGACTAAAATAGATTTAGGTAGAATAAAACCCGTAACAATGATTTTGGTATGAGGACCTTTTTTTTAGAGGCCAGAGGAAGGATGGTATGATTTTGAGGATTTTATTGTAGGGCTTCGCAAAGAAACGGGAGGGACCTGGCCAGAGGGCTAGAGCAAGGAGGATTTTGCTCGGAGGACTTTTTTTTTAGAAATGTGTTTAGGGCTCTGTTAAATATTTCGCTTTTCAAAAAGGTTCCGTCACCAAAAAAGTTTGAGAACCACTGCTCTAGATCAACCATACTCAATCTGCCAAGTTTTTATGTGCGGCCCGAACCACTATTATTAGGAAGCTGGATTTCTAAGTTTTTAAAATTTTGAGCGTAATGCTCAAAAACACTCATTCGCTGCGCTAAATATCACGCTATTTTTTTAATAAATGTTTGGATGTATTTAGGTTTTGTGTTTTATTTATTACGTGAGAAGTAAATGTAAAATCAGGTCCCCAGTAATTTAAAATGGATGTCCTAAAAAAATGTTGCGACCCGTGTAACATAGAAAACATTATGTGGTCCGAAGGAAAAAAAGGTTGAGTATAGCTCTGCTCTAGATAAGACTGGACAAGAATTGTTCATTTCAGACTAGCCGTTTGGGCTGCGTTCTCAATCTTAAAAACTGCAAATCACATAGCTTGGGAGCAATTGAAAGGGGATCGATCATCAGAATATAGAATTTGACCAACACATCAATTTGTATTTTAATTTCAATTTTTACAGGTAACCCCTATCCTGTACGCTTGATTGCTTGGGCTATACGTAAACAATTCATTTGAAATAAAAAATTGTATGAAATGGGTGGATAATTAGATACGATTAGTAAGTTTATCTGCAGTAAAATAAAAGTATTTACAATTCTAAACCCTTTATTTGCATTTAGGCGATACCCTGCGCATATAAAAGATTTGGAACATCATGTTTTGAACCTTTTGTGTTGTAAACGAATCCTGGGTTTTCAAAACCAGATTAAACGAGTTGACGTGCATGGCGATGACATTTTAGGAAATTAATATGCAACATTTTATTTCTCAGGTGAAAAACATAAATTCAAAAGTAAGTTTTAAATATTTTTAACTGATATTAATTTGGCAACGATGTAACCATTTGAAATTAATCTGTTATCTGATTATAAGTAGTTTGAATAATAAACAATAATAGTATTTTAATACCAATTTGCTTCTAAATGCCTAATTAAATCGTGAAACCAAGTTTTTTTTTTTTAAATAAAGACCTTTATTGATTGTCTCTATAGGATTAATAATTATGATGCGTTGTTATAGTTAATTAGATTTGTTTAAGATTCTTCAAAGGGTACCGCCAAATACTCACGAAACTCTTAAACTATACTGAAGTGATCTTACCTTTCTTAAGACTAAGTTGGTTTTCACCTCCAGCTTGGAAGTCGTACAAAGCGACGAACAGCTGGGGATCGTCCTCTTCCTGGGCTAAGAGATTTTCTTTGGACGTCCATCGATTGGCGGTCTCGAAGGAAATCGGCGTGGAGGGTGCTCCAGACGTTGACGAGCTCGATAGGGTGCCCAGACCGGAGCTAAGAGTATTGGCATTGTGACTTCCCGGTGGATCAGACTCTGGGAGGCTAGGTATGTGAGGTAGTGGTCTGCTTTGCAAGAGAGCTTCTGCAAAAAAAATAGTATGAGTAAATAATTTAGAATAAACTGAAAAATATGACTGTATTAAAAACAAAGCAAGCGCTACTTAGGCTTGAACAGGATTTCAACAGGCTGGTGGGATGTCTTTTGTTGGTATTAATTGCAAAAGTTGACTTCCAGGCCAACCAAATGATTGGGTTCTGCAACAACTTTTTAACATCATTAAAATGGGTGTGTATGTGAGATAGAAGGCGGACATCAACTAAATAATTAAAGTCGCGAAGTTGTTTGTCTACACATAATTTAAAGCTAATATCAAGCAGTTCCAATTTGATGTTATTCATGATCACCGAATGTGTATCCCTTACAACTATATTAACTAAAGGTTTATTCAGGATTAAATTGCTATATTTATTGATAATGTTTTGCATTTAAAAGGTGCTTAGTTCTTTATACAAATAGTATAAATCATTTCTATTATATAATAATTATTATACACTAACGCCAATGCCTTTCGTAACAGAAATGCGATGTATTATTTTAGTCAGACCCCCGTATATTAGATTATAGTTCGCAGAAGATTGAGCACATTCTTTTGTAGGTACAGCAACGGCTCTGATGAACGGTATAATAAAGAAAGGACAAACATACAAGTGCAGATAGGCGTGTCTCAAGGATAGTTCCCCCTATAAGAAAATCGACTTCATTCAGACATTCCTTATTTGTAGATAAGCACGATTTACGATATGTTTGTTGAATTTGTTCCCTTGTTCAATTTATCCGGCTCATTACCTCTCTACTGCAGTTTCGTCGGCAGCCGAATGTCTAGAAAAGAATTTCGAGATGGTTCGCATAGCGTTTAATCGTAGGATATAAATAAAAAAGATAAAGGGAAATAAACATTGCAGGCTTAACAAATAATATAAAGTAATGCGAAAGATAGGATTTTGTATTAGCTATAGCATCACAAGTTTCTTCCACCACATTTAAACTATTCCGTACGAGTTTGGAAGATTAATATCAAATTGTATTAGATGATTAAATTTAAAAAGATGGAAGGCGGAAATTCACACCAATGAGAAATGTGTCCAATTCAATATTACATACAACATACAAGAGATTATTATCATTAAGTCCGATAGTTAAGCAGCCATCAAAGCGAGGTTTAGATCACACGTAATCAGCTCAAAAATAATCTGGAGACCTAGAAAAACTGAATGAGCTAATCGAGGAAAATACAGTTATTTTCACTTTCGTTCCCGGACATAATGAGATAGAGAGTAATCAGATTACAGATATCTAGCAAGTAAAGGGACTCAAACATCCTTCACCGGTATCAGCAGTAAATAGTAACACAATATATTAGAAGAGATTAAAATGAGTTGGGCAGAAGAAGAACCGACAAATGGACCGATCTCTTGGGTCTAAGACCGGCTAGGATACTTCTGGGGGTGTGGCTATACCCAAAAATAAAAAGAAAATCTGTATATGTCTGAACAAGAACAGGCTACGCATAGTAACTCGGATCCTTGCCAGGCTTTGTTGACTCAGTAAACTTGAACTAGTAGAAGATAGTGATTGCAGATTCTGTGAGGAGGATGAAACCTCTATTCACATTCTGACTGAATATGTGGCACTAGTGAATCCATGGATACTATACTTGGGAATATACCAGGAAATGAAAGTGGGGATCATACATTTTCTTGTGGAAATAGGATTGGAAGAGTCGTTATAAACATCTAAAGACTATTCCCTTGTTGTCTTATAGACATAAAGACATAAGGAAAACTTTTGGACTCAAATCATATTTGTGTAACCATTCACAATACGTTCAGCTCAATGGATTCAAGTCTCTTAAGTACTTTGCCACATCGGGTGTCCTTCAAGGATCGAATCTTTGCCCGCTCTTGTTTAATATTTTCATAAATGACATTGGTAGTGTAATGAATGTTAATTTTCTACTGTATGCTGATGATCTTAAAATTTATGCTTCCATAAATAGTATAGCTGACCGCGAGCGACTTTCTGAAAGTCTGAAACAAGTTAATGAATGGTGTCAAAAAAATGATTTAAAATTGAATTCAGTCAAGTGTAATATCATGTCGTAATCCTTAAAATCAGATCCAACTTTTTATCAGTATGTTGTTGACGAAACTTCTTTAAACAGGCCACGAAACTTTGCAGATTGCAGACTTGGGAATGGAAAAATTACGCCCAGTCCGGTCCCGCTCTAATCTCTTAAGCCCTTCTCTGCCTTACTTGAACCTCTTATGGCCTACACTTTTCCGATTACCAAAAACATTCGATTAAACAAGTCACCTCTAAAATCCCCTATTGATTCACCTATGTTCCGTTACCGCTGGTCGAGGGAGTCGTTCAGCATTTGGGTATATAAATAGTAAAATTGAGTCAGTTTTTAAGTTAGATATTCGTTTGCGCAGATTAATATTGTTAATATAAATAAGTATACAAGTAAATGTCCATATAAATTAGTACATAGATAAATTTCCATATAAATTAGTATATAGAGAAATTTCCATATTTGAGTATAAATAAATTAGTGCCTTAGTATAAAGAGTAATAAGAATGTTTTACAATAATACGACGAAATAATTTAATATGGGTAGGACAACGAAGTAGGTTTAATATGAGTAGGACAATGACGTCATACATCACCATCGATTGAAACAAGTCATACCATCTTTTTATATTTTCACAAAACATTCCTATAGAGATATAAAATTTAAATTTTGGGTTGCTCTAATATAAAAGTTGATTGAATAAATTCCAGCAAGTGAGAATTATCAAAGGAAAGTTTCACGTAGATCGCAAGATCAAAAGAATTTAATGTATGCGTCGATTCTATATGCAAGTAAAGCAAAGCCAAAACAATATTGAACAAACTGCAATGTTATTTTTTCAGTTTTGGCTCGTTTAGTTCGAATCAAAAACATTTTTTGTTCATTTATATCTAAGAAATAATTTATTGCAAATTAAGGTTTGTACATTCACAGATGAACCAAGCATGAATTAAAAAAAAATGAATAGCATACAACAAAGAGTTCAAAATGGGAATCGTTAACTTAATAATTTATCTTACGAATTGTTTCTTGTATTTTTGATCTGCATAGTCCAGAGAACTCTGTTTATAAATTAAAACACTGAATTAAGTTTTATATTAAAGTTTTATATTAAAGTTTTATATTAAAGTTTTATATTAAAGTTTTATATTAAAGTTTTATATTAAAGTTTTATATTAAAGTTTTATATTAAAGTTTTATATTAAAGTTTTATATTAAATATGAAGGGGAGGTATGTTACGATTTACGATGTCCTTTCAATAAAGTGTCTATGAATTTAAAGAGACCAGACATATTCCTGATTGTTGTACATGACTAGCGCTTAAACGAGCACGGTTTCTTTTGAAATTGTTTTAGAGTCAGATAAAAATCGGGCATTCATATTTAGAATGAAATAAAAGATGAGCGAAATGATAACAATTTTTACTTTCAAATATTTTAAATTAATGGCGACAAGGTATGTTAGAATACGGACTAGTGCCATGGTTAAAATTAGATTAGATTAGAATATAGAGTTAAATTAAATAAATGACCTATTAAAATGAAATCATGCAATTAATTTTATGTTAATGATATTCTATTTAAAAACAATACAAAAGCAGAACGGTTTTTCGGTATTTTTACATTTTATTTATTTCTCCAATTACGCTTGTAAGACTTCTTCTCGTGTACCTAAAAACTCTCCGCCTATGGCCTTCAAAAGTCATTGTTTTCTTGCCCATTGTGATTAATATTTAATAGTCGCCGATAATAAACCATTATCTTTGAATCATCTACGACACGTCTGTCGATTCTTAAAACAATAATTATTATATAGATACAAGTTTAAGATTATGCAGTAGGTAGGTACTAAAACTACTGACGTAAGTACTTTAATCAAAGAACTAAAACAGGTGAGTGTAACAATGTACTTTTCACTGACCAGGTGATTTGCTTATTCTTTTTTTATTTTTTATGGGTTAATATCGACATATAAGTACCGCATGCACATCTTTGGCGAAAGCAGATCTAGTTTTTTAAAGGTTCGAGTATTCCGACGATTTGGATAGGGAAATTCAGAGAAGCATTTTTAGAAATAAGTAGGTATATGTATTAGTAAAGCCAAGGAATGATACAGTACTTGTCATTTACTGTAATGAGAAAAACAACTTTGACTATGTCCTAAAAATAGCTACTGATCAACAAAATTTGATCCAGCGCTTATCATATAAATCATTCAGTGAACCTTAGATGTTTGACGAGAATGCCTGTCGTATAAAAGTGGTTATTTTCTTCGCAAAGAAAGATTTGGTGCATCTGAGTAAACAGCTAGTGCTGGATCAACCTCAATTTTAGGCAAAATGTAGAGCTCCAAGCAATTGCGGTTTATCTAAATGAGAATCTACATGAAATAACATTATTAGTGAACCCTAGAAGCAGAACGTATCCGATGAATAAAAATTAAATTACTGTTAATAAGCCACTTATCAAATCCTAGAGAACCATGGAAATAAAACACTAAATATCTAATCTGGCGTTTGAAAATAATAAAATAAATAATAAAATAAATAATAATAAATAAAATGCATTGGGAAATCTACATACAAAGCACCAGGTAACCCATGCAGCATTAAAAGCTTTAAAATAAATCAATATAAATTTCTCATTGGTATACGCGATTCAAATTAATTTTCGCGCGCCTGTCATTTGTCGCCTATAAGTAGGATGTTCAAACCAACAAATGAAAAAGAAATCAGGACAATATTTTTTGCAATTCAAGGCAACTCATTCTGGCTATGCGAATCTCGCAGTAATTATCGTCAGACGATGATTTGCCGACATAGTTTCGGAGCGTTCTAAAACATTTTAAATAAAGAGAATAACTATTGCAAATAAGTAACAATTGTTCATTAATGCACAAAAAAACACAGTTTTTCCATTAACAAAAAAAAAATCTGATGTGTCCAACACATGACTTTCCTATCTAG